TGGTTAAAGCGCTGCAGAAAAAACTCCGACTTACACATGGGAAAATGATGGTGAAAAATGCTGGAAAAGTCCAATTGGAAACACTAAGACTTCCGACGTCAGGAGTAAAAACTCCCATTAAAGTGCACAAATTTACACAAGCACTTTGCCTAATTATTTTGATAAAAAGCGGTTCGAGCCCCCAAAGTGACTTTTTCTTTCATGCTTTATCGTTCCTTTTTTTAAGCAAATGCATGTCATAAAGTCAGGACAATTAAGGATAAACCTAATGGTTGTAATGACTTGCTAAGAGTTACTTACAGCTTAGTCAAGCTCTTACCCAGTGTAACTATTTTGATAATTTTGGATTAAAAAGACACGAAGGACTAGGACTATTTTTGTTAAAGACAAATTGTATGTTTATCTTGAGTACTGGACATAGTACAATATATACTGTGAGTATAGAAAATAGCCGCTTGAAGCTTTCCTATAGTATAACCATTATTTCCTAGTTTATGTTTAGCTCAAAGAGAAAATATTCTTCAAAGGAAAATAATTTATTTATCATGAAGTGCAGAGGAAAAATAAACTCCAATGCTCCAAAAGAACTTAATTTTATTCTTGAATATTAAACTTGGCATTTAAGCACTAAATTTAGATGAGCAAGTTAAGCACTAGACGGCCCAAAAGTTGGATGTGAACGTGTCCTGTTTGGGCCCCCTTCACCCCTCTGCCGTTATCAGAAGTCCTTTTGAGGAAAAGTCACTTTCGCCGGCAAACAGAATCAGAAAAGTTAAGGAAAAACGTTGGAGGAAAATAAGGGGGTAGCGGCAGAAATCAAAGTTTCTGGCAGAGTTGCCCCCGTTCCCAGGGTTGTCGTGTGTGCTCAGTCGTGCGTGCCAGGAAGGATGAATGGATGTGGTAGTCCTGCTTGAGTTCCTTTTTTGCACTTATCGCTCGACTTTGCTTGGTCAGCCAAAGGCGGGCAATATCCTTGCCTCTTGCTCCTTAGTCCTTGCTCATTCGATTTTTATGTGGCTTATTCATTTTGAGTGGCCCGCTATACTCAGTTTCATAAAAAACGATTTCGTTTATTGGGCTGCATTTCAATTGGATGCATTTCGGTTAATCGATCGCCAAGATGAGGGCAATTTTCATCGCAAGAAGGCATTTTATTGTGATTGAACATATGTATGTTTGTAAATTATAAACTTCTACTTAGCAAGAATTCTAAGCAGCAATAATATTATAAAATAATAGTATTATATTATAAAATATTTATATTTAATATAAAATATTTATATTTACTATTAATAAACATAGACACCTTTAGATAAGCAGCAAATACTTAAAATTCAAAGTCAATGCATGTCATAAACCAACTCATTCTCGTTTAACTTATATTATAATTACGAATTAAGAAACGTTATATAATAAAACAAAAAACAATACTTTTTATTTATTAAAGTAAAAAGAAAATATGATGAATGACGAACGCACTCTTGGTGCCCTGCTGATATTTTCTTAATATCAAAATTTGAGTTCTTAGGAAAGAATAAAACATGCCTTAACAATTAAGATTGTTAAGAATTTCACTTATTTACTAAAAGTGAGAAAATAACTTCTCCAAAGTGTGCTTGATTTAAAATCAAGAAAATCATTTTACCATGTAAAATACCAGAGATAAAAGCAAAACAATTAACAAAAACACGATTCTTGATAACTAAATTCTTAATAAAAATAAATTAAAATCGGAGGCTTAATTCAACAAATGCAATGCAAAACGAATCGGTAACGAATAAACTTTAAATTAATTTATACAATTTTTATTTATCAAATCTGACGACCAGGTAGTCGTCTATAGAGGTATTATTTTAGCCTTTTATTTCATTTAAACTTAAAGCACTTTATTTGAAGGCTGTTTATGTTTCCTGCAGCAACATGAAATATGTATTCACCAACAAACAAGTCAAAATTGGTTCGCCTTCAGGCTATCGGATGACCAACCAATAATAATTTTTAAAGTTTTCAAATCAATTTGAGCCATTCAGCTGAGCAGACAACTTCATGAGGAAATTTTTAGTTGCAGTATGAAATGTTCAATAAAATTGTTTGCCTGCATGAGAGATGGTGTTTGTCCTTTTATTTTATTTCTTTTTTTGCAGTTCGAAAGAAATGCATTTCAGAGAGAAGGGGAGAGTTTGTTTGACTTTCGGTCTCATGCCTAGACTATCTGCAGTGCAATCGTCCTTTCCATTTGAGAATCCTGGACATCCTGGCATCACATGCAGCTTAGGTTTTGGCGTGCATTTTAATTTGGTTTCACCATTGTCCTTTCTTGGTTCTTATTTTTAGTTCCCATCCAGCCAAACAATGGACCACGAAATGTGCAAAAAAGTAAAAGTCAAGAGGAAGAAGGACGAAAGAGGACCAAATTGTGGCCAAAAGCCGAAAACGTGCAAAGAGTTTTGATTATAAAATGCCATCACACCAACCGATTGCTCATGTCTGAATGTATTTTTTACACTTATACTTTTTGGTCTGTTCTGCCAACTGACCATTGTCCTTTTTGTTGGGCAGGTGCGAGGACTAGAAATTGGCAAATTAACACTAGGACAATGGCAAAAGTCAGACAGAACAATCATCTATATTTCTCTTACAAAATGATTTGCCAAGCAAGAAGCTCGGGTTGAACCTCTGCGAACAAACATTTTTTAAATTTATCTTAAAGACGATTTTCTTAAATTTTACTCAACAAATAACGCCCATAATTGAACTGTCAAATCAATTTCATTTGATTTACGTTCCATGTTAGTTCGATGTCATGTGCCACCCCAAAAAACTGTCAAAAAGTGGTAGTACCCAAAAAAAAATGGAAAAATTTCTGGTGAACTTGCACTTAAACGCTAGATGGCGCTGTAAACACTCAATCAATTGCGACGGAGACGACAAAAACACGGAAAAAACTTTGGCCGGACAACTAGAAATTCTCGGGGCCGGAGATGTAAAAGTTTTCTACTGTCTGCTGACAGTTTTTGTGGTAACCTGTTGAGGGGAAATGGGAGGACTTCTTTAATGGGGTGGACCTTTGCCTCGTACATCCATTGTGTGTCACTCTATATTGGAAAAGTTTTATCTCTTGGTATACCCTTTCAGGCGGGGCTTTATTTAGATCAAAGGGATTATTTTTGTCTCGGGATTCCTACATACATATATATATTCTTAAAGCTAACGCTAACACAAAAAAATTGGAAAAATAAAAAGAGTAATTTGTGTACTTTATTTTTTTCAATGAAGGAAATTCAATATTTTTCAAAGGGCCATCTTTATCTTTTAACTCTTTTTAAATATCCATAAATAGGTCTTAAAAAATCCCAGTGAGGGCGTTCATGCTTCGTCCTTAACTTAATTGATTTCTTTTTTCTTGGGTTTCTTGTGCGCTGCCCCCTTAAATGTTTCTTACAAATCAAATGGCTGCTAAACGAGAGCAGAGACCAGTGGCAGAGTGGTTTGGCGGGAAAAATGTTGCCCTTACCCTGCCCCCACAACAATGCGGAAATAACAAACAAATGGGGCCAAAAAGAGCTAAAAAGAGCCTCCCTATTGAAAGACCTTTGATTTGGTACACTTTAAAAAAAAACAACAAAAATTTAAAGAGTAGTTTAAAATAAGTTTGAAATAACACATCACATAAATAAATAGTAATTATATATTTTAAAAGTCAATTAATGTATAGAAGGACTTTATATACTTTTAAAAGTAACGCCTATTGTTTTTTGTTCTAAAAAATATGAACATGAAAAATATTTTTGCTGGTCTATCTTCCCTACTTTTCCCATTTTATTTCTTTTTCTATCTGCAGTGCTCTTAGTTCTGGTTCCCTGACTTTGGCGCCACACAATTTTGTGGCCACATTGATGTCGCCCACGAAATGCGAAAGTTTTACTTTCATCGCCTTGCCTCTTTCCCTGCATCAGCACCCCTGTCTCCACTCCCCTATTAGCCACATTCTATATCCTTTTTCCAACAAATACTTGGCTGTTTTGCAAAGTTTGTAGTTGTCTGAATATTAACATTACGCATACGCCATATAGTTCATAAGTTCAACACAGATCATTGCCAAAGAGTGAGGGGTGGCGGTGGCAGTCACAAATGGCCTGGGATGGGCGCACAAAGGAAGATGGACAATCAAGTTGATTGAATTTTCGATTACGGCTAAGGGGTTAAATATAAGTGGTCGTAACTTTTCGGTTTCCATAAAAATTTTCCACACAAAATTCGGTGTGAACATTTCCAATTTAATTTTTCTGTTGATTTTTTTTTGTGATTACTTTCTATGGGTCAAGAGTGTGAACACTGCGAGAAATTAATACTACTATTTTATACACAATATTATAATCGGAATAGTGCTATAAGATACTAATAAAATATAAGATAATAATATACGAAATAATAAGTTAATAATATACGAAATAGGTTTAACGCTCAACTTCTCATAAACAGATATAAATTAAAATTAAAAATGTTTTCAACTGTGGCACTGATATGATTTTGATGATTAGTTTGCTTGAACTACATAAATATGTACATTCCTACATATGTAATAAGTTGATTTGATTGGTATCAAGCCACATCATGTTAATCCGTTGATGGATATAACTAATATAAATTAAGAAATAATGGAGAACCAATGTAAGATCTTTGTGGCGGACAAGAAAAGGGTGGCACATTGTAAGTTTCTTAAAAAAAAATGGTATTGCGCCGTTTTTTTTTTAAACTCTGACTCCTGTGAGACCCTATTAAAAAAGCAATGATCGGCCACTCTCTCAGCCTCTTGGTATTGGCATTGCATTCTTATGCACTGTTTGATTCCTATAAGCTCATAAAGGCTCTTCAAGAACACAGCCACTGTACGATAACAGCTGATCTGAACAGCTGTATCGCGCCAATGCCTAATCGCATTGTTTTTTTAGCGAAAAATTTTAGATTTACATGTGTAAAGATATTTTTTTTTGACTTACCTAGAAATAAGACATTAGGCTTTCACAATGCAGCGAATTCCGGCGAGTTCAATGACGATGTTTAAACGCTTTTTCCAAAGAGAAAGTGCCTCAAAGTTATGGTGGTTTGCAAAATCTAAAAAAAATAAAGGTAAGTATGTGTTTTATACAAAATAGAAGCGATACAAAATATTGTAACATAGAAGAGAGGATAAACCGAATAACCACAAGTTATTTTTATGAAGAAGCTTTTTCTACTTCGGCGCATTTTATTACAACTATTCTTCATTGTTTCACCAATTAGAGATGGCAAGCCAGAGATGGCACTATCGATGATATCTTGCACTATCGACAGTTTAAAAGGTATCACGATAATATCACTATCATTTGTCCACTACTTTTTTATTGAATTTTTGCGGTTTAAGCCTAGTACTCAGATCGGCAAAAACTTGTTTTCATCTATGGGAGTGAGCGAGAGGCAGAAAGGTGAAAACTCAGATCGAAAAAGAAAATACCTGAAATATACATGTGGATGCCAGCCTGAATCAATGAACGTTTTTCAGGTCCCCAGCGAAAAGATTAAACATTTAAGTCTTTCATCCGTTCGACAGGGTCAGTGATCGACTTGACAGATATTTTTATAATAGAGTAGTATATTTTATTGTAATAGAGTAATAGAAAAACTTAAATGCTTTCTAAAGTCAAATTTGATTTAAAAAAATTTATAGAAATTCTTCTAGTGATTTTAAATTTGTATGATTATGATAATAGAAGATCTATTTGAATCATTTTTTTCCAATATTGTCTATTTTAAAATTAAAATTAATATAGATTTGTCCACTCGAAAAAAAAAATGTTTTCTAAGGGAGGCCAAACAATTGGCAGATATACTCTTCAAAACTTTAAAAACTCTTTTCAATAACTAATACTTATCAAAAAAAAATGTATTTGATTTTTTTTTTTATTTTTGTTTTTGTATTTATATTTGAAATTTGGTTACATTTGTGGTTTAACCCTGCTATCACGATAGTATCGATAGTTTGCAAAACTACCTGTAAAGAGCAATGCCCTTCCTTTATCATTTTCGTAGTGACTGGTTACACTGGGTATTAATTTCAAACTTTGCAGAGCTTTGGATAAGGAAGGAATTTTAACGATCCTTTTAAAATTAAATTTTTATTTTTACAGAAACGGTCGACCTGTAAAAACGCTAAATAATTGGATTTCTATTCTTGGACTTCTATTGGTCACATAAATTGCAGTGTTTAAGTCCGTTCCTACAATGCAATACCATCGCTCAAGCTTACAATTTATAATTTAATTACAGGTATTATTTATAATTATAATTTTGGTCAAAAGTGTGCAACACAGTAATGGAGACATCTCCGACCCTATAAAGTATACATATTCTTGATCAAGATCACCTCCGTCTGTTGTGCATGTTCGTCTGTTTCTACGCAAAATAGTCTCTTAGTTTTAAAGCTATCGACTTACGCCCTTCTTCTTTGCACGCAGTATATGGTATATGTAAATCGGAAAAGCCGGGATCGGTCGACTATATCCAATAGCTGCCATAAAACTGAACGATCGGAAATAGTATTTGATAAAAAAACAACTAGTATATTTGAAGATAAAAACTTGGGACTTATTTTAGATTTTTTATTGTAATACATTTTTTTATATGATATTCTCATAGGCCAATTATATCTGATGTTTGGGATATTTATCTGGTTTTAACTGCAAGGGTATATCAACTTCGGCTCGACACGCTTGAATTTTCTTTAAATTATTATTGTTATTTAGTTAGACCTATTTTCGTCAATTACATTTAAGTTTTTAATCTTATTTTATTTTAAATGTCATGTCTAAAATTTTGGAAATAAATATTAATAAAGCTTAGTAGCCTGTATTAGAGGCCAAGGTCTTAGGTAGCCAACTTGTTGCTTATCAATTGTTTGTTAACCTTCGACATCACATCCGTATGCATATTTATAGACGTGAACTCATTAGTCCCAATTCCAAAGAAGGCAATCGCATTAAGACTGATTCTGATAAGAAACTCTCGAGCTCAAGCTAGAGGTATAAAAAGCCGGAGCCATGGGCTTCGAAGCATAAGTTAATATTCTTCCATTGGCTCTTAAACACATACGTTTTTTTCAAACACAAAAATAAATCAAAAGATTCTTCTGGTGGTTTTCAATTCTTCTATTTATATTTTCCCTTGGGGACGAGGATGAAGTAATAAAGGTAAAAACCTTTAAGTGTATTCATTTTTGAAATTAATTTAAAATTAAAATTCCCCAGTCGGATACCTATCGGATCAAATGGAGTAAGAGAGTGCCTTGCTTGTTACTCAATTGTGAAGCCCCAACTGAATTTTTGCCGGAAAAAGGATGTCCACAGAAAAAAGTGCCAAGATAATTATACGGAATCACAATTAAGTAACCAAAAAATGTATCTGCAACTGGGGTCCTGGGGCGCTTGAGCAGATTATACGAATGAAGATCCGTAGGAAAGATTGAAGGAAACAAACACATTCAAAAAGCCTGTCAGAATCTGTTTGTTTTCTTCAATCTTTCCTTCGGATTTTCATTCTTATAATGTTCCTTCGCCCAAGAACCCCCTCTTAGCCACTTGAAGAAGATAAAATCCCATATGTAACTATGTTTTGCTCTTTGGACAACATTTCAATTCCATCTGTCAAGAATAAAGTATCACTCATGATACTAGGAATTTAAATATTAGCAATATCTATTTGATTAAATTAATAACAAAAAATGTAATTTACGTACAACTCAAATTAAATATATAAGCCCCGTAAAAAATACGACTCTTGATAATTTTGATGGCATATTTTTGCTTCCTGTCCAATCCCCATTTGCATTTGAAAATATGTGAAATATGAAACCATAAACTATTTTGCCAAAGCAAAACTTTTGTTTGGGAAACTGATTGTCGTTTGCTGTCCTGGCTTCTATCCTGGTGTGTGTGCATGTGTTTGTGTGGGTAAATTCTGGTACGTGATTAGGTTCCTCACATAGGTGTCGTTCAAGAGGGATTGCCTTTTTGTAACTATTCCTTAATATTATTTAATTATCTCAATGAAGTTAATTGGGATTAAGTGAAGCATTCTTGATTATTTTGGGAAGACAACTGCAGAGTCCTTTCCATGGCAACCCCCTTTGGATTAGGCCTCTGAGTCTTCTAAAATATATATGTATTAAGTTGCCTCGGCAGGAGGCGCCTCCAGCTGAGTGTTTTCACCTCTGAAAGTTCGTGGGTCTGGCGCTCAACTTGTCAACGCATATAAATTTTCCAACGCACTAGAAAATGTTGGAAAAGCCACCAGAAAGTGGCCAGGGTTGAAGGTGTAGGTTTAGGGGGGGCTTTTGGTAAGAATTACACCCACACACGTTCATATAGCAGCTGTAAAAACACAAGTCAAAAGTCGGCCAGGGGCGCTCTTTTCTTGGCAACCAAACAGGCAACAATGCGTATCCAGCTTTCGCCCTTACTTCCACCCCCACAGTCCGCAACACCCTTCAATACCTACCCCTGGCCAGGACCCTCTTGAAAGCTCTACCTCTGATGCCCCCGATACCCCTGATATTTTCCGGCTCCCAGGCTCATCTGTCTTTTTTTTTGGTTTTTTTAGTGAGCTACCAAAGTGTACAGTGTCTAATTAATAGTGATTACAAGATGGTTCCATTATTTTAATTAATTATAAAAATATAAAATTTAAGACGCGTGAAATAGAACTATAAATAATCATATATGTATTAAAACAGATATTTTAATTTTTACGAAAAAAAGTTAAGGCGAAAAAGTTTTGTTTTAAAGAACTTTAAAATGGACGTTCACTCAATAAAACTAATATAATAGAATTTATATAATTTATGCACAAATTTCAAAGGATTATAGTCAAAAAATATAGTTAAGCAATTAAGGAAGTGAAGAACTATTAGAAAATTAATTGGATAACTTGATAACTAACTATCTTTAAAAAAAGATTATTATTTAAATTTTAATTATTGTTCAATATGAATAGTACATTTTAAAAAATGTTGGAAGGTTCCGGATTGTCTTTGTTTATTGGAATATAAAATATACAATTGTATATAAAATATACAATCCATTGTTTGGAGACAAATACAATTATGTATTTTCAACCCTATTAACTTAGCTTTAATATTTATAAATCTTTAATATTTAACGTTTTTAACGTAAATTTAATACTTTTAAATCTAAAGCTTAATAATTTATTAATAAAATGTAAACCTAAGCCTTAGCTTCCAAATATCGCAGCTTACGTGAAAATAAAATTTAAAAACTGAGTTAAATGTTACTTTATTTGTATGTAATTAATTTAAATACCAAATGTAAAATTAAGTGAATCTTTAAAAGATTGTTTAATTTTAAAGCAATTAAAAATTTTGTATTTCCAAACCGTTTTAAATATTTTAAACCTGCATTTGGTGGCTTTAAATATACATATAAATTATTGGAAAACAATAAAAATGAAGAGAATTTGAGTTATTTTTAGTGGACCGTGTAACCACTGTGCCGTGGGGGTAGTGTGTTTGTTTTCAATTTCAATTTTACAATAACCGAGGCGAGGTAAACCGAGGCCTTCCTGGTCTAGGCCAAATGGCCAGCATATACATACATATATATATGTATAGCTATATAAAGGTATATATGGTATGTATATCTATCAAAGTATCTGTATATGTATATATAATGAATAACGGTACAATTTCACACTTCCTTTCATTGGAAAATTACAGGAGAGGAGGCATCGACGTTTTGCCGTCTTTTGTTTTGGTGTCTGCGGGCTGAAAGCTTTTTAATAAGGCACCTTGAAATATATACAGAGATGTCTATAAAATCATTTATATATATACATTACGACCTATATCTTTACTGTGTGTTTTTTATAGATCAATTGGATTTGTGTGGCTTTCTCTGGGCCGGCTTACGAACGACTTTTGCGACTTTGCTTCTGCTTGGCCGCATTCAATGTTTAATTTTTCCTCCTTGTTTTCCCACGCAGGACACGTTATCATTATGGGCCTGCAATGGCCAATTCCAGGATGAAGTCAGCCCTCCTCTAAGAAACCAATGACCCATTTGTGTCATCAATAAAGCCAACAGAGTGGGAAAGCATATAAACAATCTCGGGTGGTCGAAAAAAAACATAAAACAAACTAAAATCGACAGAGAAATGGTAAAGACAATATTGTATTTGGGTTAAGGTTATGCCAGTGTAAATTGTAAGTTTATGCCAAG